GTCCCATAGCGGTAATACCGAAACAGACCGGCTCCTCGATCTCGTCTAAATGGCCACAGATTTCGTGCTACAGCAAATCCCATCGGCGAAGATCGTGATCCTTGGCGATTTTAATGCCCACCATGCCGAATGGCTCGATTCAAGTTTAACCAATCATGCGGGGAGATCTGTTTAAAACTTTGCTTTGGCATATGGTCTGACACAACTGGTTACTTCGCCTACGCGGATTCCAGATGTGGAAAATCATACACCTTCCCTGTTGAACCTTCTGCTGACCTCTCATCCGGACGGATATTAGGTTACCGTCAACGCCCCTTTAGGTTCGTCGAACGATTGTCTTGTCCGGAATATGGTGCCAGTCACATCAACGTCGTGGTTGCATTCTGCAAGCTGCCGCCGTGTTTGACACTATAGGTCGGCCGATTGGGATGTGATGCGGTCTTTTTTTGCAACCTACCCTCGGGTTTGCTTCTCGCCGGACGATCCTAGCGTTGTTGCTGATTTTGTCGCTGATGTAGTTTTTCAGGGTCTGGAACTTTTTATTTCGTCCTCTGTGGTGCCCATCGGAGGCAGATCCCAGCCATGCTTTGGTCACTCCTGTAAAATAGCATCACGCTATAAGCAGAAGTGCTACTGGGCCTGGAATGACGCATCAACGTCGCGGGATGTAAATACCAGCGCTCTTAAAAAGAAAAATAATTCCGCCTCCAGGTCCTTCAAAATAGTCATTGCCAGAGCAAAGTCTGAGCACATCGGCAGAATTGGTGAATAGCTAGTTCGCATTTCTTCGGGAACTCGTGCATTTTGGTTTCTCGCCAAGACTGTCCTAGGGCACTTCTGTCAGTCATCTCTTCCATCTCTGCATATAGAGGACGACGCACTGGCCCATGCCTCAAAGGAGAAAGCCGATCTGTTAGGCTCTCTCTTTGCGTCCAACTCGACTCTCGCGACGTGGGGCTGTCGCTGTTCCTTGGACGTCAGTAAGTCGAGTGGGCCTCATGGAGTATCTTCTATTGTGCTGAAGACGTGTGCTCTGGAGCTTGCGCCGGTTTTAACGCATCTTTTCCGGTACTCCTACTCCCAAGGCGTAGTCACAAATTCTTGAAAGACAGATTTAGTCCACCCGATCTTTTACAAAGGCAACCGCACAGACCCGTCCAACTACAGGCCTATCGCCATCACTCCTTTTTCTCCAAAATAATGGAATCTATTGTAGACTGCCTGCTTATGACCTTGAGAATCACCTTGACCTTGCATATACCTTGAGGATCACCAGCTTATCAGTGACCCCCAATGAGGTTTCCGTCGTGGTCGAGCAGCTAGTGATCTTCTGGTCTATTTTTCTCATAGATGGGTGGAGGCATTAGTGTCCAAACTAACGGCCAATGCCTCCCATTGGCCGTTAGTTTGGACATAACGAAGGCCTTCGATCGGGTCTGGCACAAAGTTCTTCTTTCGAAGCTCCCTTCCTATGGGCTTCCCGAGAAATTATGCTATTGGATCACTCGTTTTCTTGCTAATCGGAGCATCAAGGTCTTAGTAGACGGCGGATGCTCTGATTTCAAACCTATTAACGCTGGTGTTTCACAAGGCTGCGTGATAGCACCAACACTGTTTCTTCTGCATATCAATGATTTGTTGCAAACTGGTAACATTCATTGCTATGCTGACGAAGCACTAGTGATGCCCTATATACCGACCGTGCCAATATTTTTCGGGAAATCATCACCGAGTACCGGGACAAACTTGTGTCTGATTTAGAGTCTTTGTTTAACAAATTCTCGGATTGTGGGCGACTAAATCTAGTCCAATTCAATCCCCAGAAGACTCAAGTTTGCGCGCTAACCGCTAGAAAGAACCCCTTTTGTCATATATCTTTAGTTTGAAGGCACTCCCCTTACTACTTCTGCCAGCATCAGAATCCTCGGCGTCGACATATCGAATAGTGTGCAGTTTCGTGGTCACTTGGAAGGGAAGGCCAATTAGCCTCTAAAAAGCTTGGCGTGCTCAGCAGAGCGAGACAGTATTTCATGCCAGCACATCGCTTGAAACTTTACAAAGTGCAAGTTCGGCCTTATGTGGAATACTGTTCTCATCTCTTGACCGGGGCACCCCAGTGCCAGCTCCATCCACTTGATTACATCCAGCGCAAAGTGATTCGAATCTTTGACGACCGAATTCTTTCTCATCGGTACGATTCACTAGCGCTGCGTAGGGATGTTGCATTCCTTTACGTTTTCTATCGTATCTACCATGGGGAGTGTTCTATGCAATTGCTCGGATTAGTCACGAACACACATCGCGTCAAAATTCCCGATACCATCCTCATCATCTGGATGCTTGGCGGTCTACAACTCTACGTTTTACTAGGAGTTTTCTTCCTCGCACAACTTCTCTGTGGAATTGTTTACCACCGGCGACTTTTCCGAACGGATACGACAGGGACCTTCAAGAAAAGAGCTTACACCTTTCTAAAAGACCGGCAAACCATGTGCTATTTCCCTGGTGTTGCGGTTATTCTTGGGCGGCGGTAGTCACTTACCATCAGGTGAGCCGCACGTTCGTATGCCCCCTATGTAATTATTATTACGTAGGGGGCATACGTATTCTATAAAAAAAAGTTTAGCACCGATTTCACAATATGAATATATTTTATTATTTTTATTTCTTTGGGGTTGACTTTTAATTTTTTTAAGTTATTTTTGTGTAAAGGTTACTTTATATAGGTAAAAATGTATGTAAAATGTTTTGAATATAATCTGATGTTGAATATATACTATGTGATTTTTAAAAAATAGGGTATAACAGGTGATCGAAATAGAAGCACCATGGAAATATAATACCAAATTTTGACTACTTTCACCTTACTTTTCCTAATTTCATTTTCATTTTGATTTATAGCTGAAAACTTTAGCTGGTCCCAAAGGAATTGTAATTGGGTGACTTACTAACCTACCCCAAAAGTTAAACCGGTTAGAGGGCCGCGCGAGCAAAGCCTTTTTGAAGTAACTTAATCAATTATTTTCGCTATCACATTTTCATATACAATCCCATAACTTTATTTACCATGACAAAATTACAAAACAATTGTATTTCACACAAAGTATAAATTAAAAATATTATAAAAACAATTAAAAATTTCACATTAAAAAGAATTAATACATATTAATCATAATATTACAATTTCACAAGAATTTTTTTTAAGTCATAAACCTTAAAATGTCGAATATAAACTTTACAATACAATTTTCATTACTAATTTCACATTTATTATACAGTATAACAGTTTGATACAAGAACTAAAACTTTTAAGCAAAATTTTGTCGTTTATTTCTTTCATCATTTCGCTATTTTATTACTAACATTAAATTTTATTGACATTTTTTATTATCTTACTCTCACACATAATCTATTAAAAACATTAATGAATTGCTACCACATGCATTTTAAAAGTTTATTAAAAAATATTTTAATTAATATTCTTAAAAAACGGTTCAGCCTAGCGCTTTTCATTTCTATTAATTGCCTACATTAATTAACAAACTCAATTTTACACGACTCTCTGGATCCAAATAGGAGGCTTTGCCATTCCTCTAATATTTATGTTAACCCGGTCGGACACATACAACATTTCAAATTAGCATTAAACTGTCCTTATCTTTTCTACTGCTGATACCTCTAATCAGTGCTTAAAACATTTCTTATCAAAATTAAATAAAAACATTTATATTAATACTTAATTCACATTACATGCCCGAATGCTATGTATATTTATATAAAACATCACTCTTAGTTAGCACAAATATCTTTATTTTCTCAGAAATTAGCATATTATAAAAATAATTACGAATTTAACGTTTATCCTAAAAATAATGAAAAATTTAATGAGATGTTTATCTCGCGTCGCTAACAGATATTTGATAATATGTGATAGAGATAAAGATATTATTCAATTCTACTAAGTAACAAAATAATGGATTATGAATTTATGAATTTTAATCTAATTTTATTATGCATTATATATTTAATCACTCAAGACTTTGTTTTATTCAAGCGTATAAATTGAATAAATAATAGGAAAAACGTATTTAAAAAATATATAAATATTTACTTAAAATTTTATAGTTGTAGGGATATACTTTGTTATTTAATCCTGGCAATAAGAATGAATTTCATTTTATGAATGCTTAATGTGATAATATTACTCTAATTATAAACTATTTGTTACTATAAATTGATAATATATTTATAATTTTAATTTGAATTTGTGTTGATTTGTATACTATATTTTAATGAAAGTTAATAATAACTATTATAAATGTAACGGCAATATACTTTATTAAAATTTACTCATGAAATAAAATGATATTGCTTAACTGCAGGTCATTAGAATGATTTTACGTCATATATATAGCTTTATATATTAAAAAACTTATTAATGTTTAAAAAAAGAACATAATGAATATCAAGATATTTTTGTCGAAACAAAAATATTTTTTTCAATGAATGTTGTGAATTTATTACTTTAATTTTTTTTTTTTTTTTTTTGGAGAAGGGGATTGTGGTTCGTTAGATCATATATATATTTGATGTTTCGTATGCGGGTTAGTCAAATCAGGCTCAGATCAACCAAAATATTTTATTAACGTGTCCCAAATCGTAAACATTTCAGTTTTCGCTACACGGACTATCGAATAAAGTTAAAAAATATTTCCGTTACCAGGGATAAAGATAAAACTGGCATTTTACTGGCTGTAACGTAGAAAAGTAAAAAGAAAAGTTTTACTTACATAAATTCCCAAAACCATCCTCGAAAACTGTCATATAATTTAAAATACGAAATTCTGTTATAAAGCAATTCTATAGAATTTAATAATTATAATTTTTATAAGTTATCCAATTAACTTACCTGCAAGTGTCCTTCGATCAAAATTATATGAAGCCTTCTCTGTTTTTGTATACTATGTAGTCATGAATTGACGGACCGAATCACACGAATTTTAAGCTTTCGGTGGAAAAATAAGACTTTTACTGGTATCCCAACCTATACCAGGTGTATCTTCTGGACTCTAGAATTAGAAAAAAATTATTAAAATGCAAGGAAGCACTAAAGTTAGGTTTTGTAATAAATACGTATGAACAATCATATGAAATAGAATTCAATGACTCGTGAACCCCTTTGTAGCACCACAGATATGTTATGTACAGACTTTCGTTCTGTCTCATATATATATAAATATATATATATATATATATATATATATATATATATATTTTGGTACGCGCCTCAGTCGACGGCACTAGCGCCAACTAGTGTCAGAGACGAGAGCGAGTGGAGCTTTCCAGAAAATGACATCACTAATCTTTCAACCGACAGTGCCAGTCTAGTCTCGAACCGAAGAACTAAACTTCTAGAAGTTGAAACTCGAACTCTCGGTACCTTGCTCGTGTTTACTTGAATATTCTGAATATTTCGGTGCTAATTTATATTTATATGCGCTGCAAGATGCGATCGGTGAAGTATTGAATTTGGCGAGACAAGCGAAGCTTCGGAGCGGAATAAAGTGAATTAGTGTGCTTAATTATTGGTGTTTTAAACTTTAATTTGTGTAAAGAAAATTAAAGTGTTAATTTAGGTAATTCTATCGGCAATTTTTATTGTCACGAACCTCAAGCTCGTAACAATATATATATATATATATATATATATATATATGTATATATATATGATATATATATATAATTTACGAGATTCTCACTTGATATAGATTTTTATTACATTTTAATTGCCTTTACTCTACTTATTAACATTAATATCAACGATTGTAAGTGATGAGTTTTTTTTTTAAATAAATAAATCAATTTAAATTCAACATACATATTGAGTTGATTAAGAAAGTATATAGGTACAGGCGCTCCTTCTGTCAGATTTTTTATTTCGCATTTTTATTAATCTACTATCTAAGTTCTTTAATGCATATACAATATACTCGTACATATCTTTATATATAAAAATCGTTTGCCGTCCACCAGTTTGGCCAAAACTCAAAAACAGCTCGACCGATTATGATGAATACCCCCGTGTACGCCTGAATATTCACCTACATGGCCCAGACCCTGACTCGGAACGGGCAGGCAGAGCCGATGTCGAGATCTGGAAACCATCCGCGAGAAGCCAGGGCGGATTGCCGGTTACATTTATAAACACAATATACACATTAAGTAGATTGAAACAGTATGTACTTACAGACGTTCGTTTTTGTCTCATATATTGATTTCAAACTTCGCATTTTTATTAATCTACCCCACAAATTATTTAAATACAAAAATGACAAACATTGGAATTGGCCAAAACGTTTATGAGTTTTTAAATAGGTTTTCTCTTTTTTGCTAAAAATAAGATCCAATAATTTCACTTAAAAAAGCAATTTTAAACTTCTTAACTTGAAGATGCGACTCGCTGATTCGACACGAAAAATTCACTATGGCATTAGATGTTGTGTTGCCAGTGGGAGCTGGATGGAAGGATACCAGTAAAAATCTTATTTTCTCACAAAATGGTTACAATTCGTAAGATGCGGTCCCTCCATTCATTACTACATAGTATACAAACACAGAAGAGGCGTCAATGAATATAATAAGCTATTTGGTTTTATAAAACTTTACCCTGAAAACATCTTGTCGTCTGACTTGACACAACTAATTTATGTTACGTTCATACTTGCAATGATTTAATCGATAACGTTTTGGTCGTAGGTTTTAAGAGTCAAATAAGGTGTAATTAGAAACAATTTTGTCTTTTCAAAAACATTTACATGACACTTATATAAGTTACTCTCATAATATAAGTAAGACCAACGTTAGCGAAAATATTTGCTTGAAAATTAATTTGTTAGTGGACACAGGGAGAAATATTCAAGCCTGCAACAATTATTTGTACGCTATAAAAACATTTTTGCTCGTCGTGGGATCCAAAACCGTAGTCCTCAGCACCGCAGCAGCGCCATAGGATTAAGGATTACTCTAGCATTTAATCAATAGTAGTTTAGTAATCATAGTAGTTTTATCTACGTCAATTTTAAGCTTTCGCATACAATATGTTATGCAATACCACTCTTGACAGGCGATTGTAATACAAGACCTTTCATACCTTTGACGCTGTTTTTGCCGCTAGTAAATGTATTTTGTGATTGCCTAGAACTTTATACATATAGCGCCATCGGAAACTGTAAGAAATCTCCGGCATTTCAAAAGAAACGGAAATGATGTTGGATACTTTTACAACGACAAAGCAATTAAACTATTTTAACTTAAACATATTTTGAGGCCATCACTCGCTATTTAAGTTTCCCTTCATTTATATGCCGAAATTGAAAACAATAACAGCATATGCAGCTGTTCATTTTAGCATAATCAATTCAAATATCCGTGATACAAAAACGTTACACGCTTCAGTGACGAGGGTACGTTCTTACGACAGGGGGTAAATTATTATCTGTAAAATTAATCTAGTTTCCAGCTCAAGTTATCACAGACCATGATGCAACAGTGAGAATAATTTTGGAAATATTACGAATTACAATTTGTTATGAATACTTTTATTGTTAGACTTTAAGAGTAAGTAAATAATCATTTATTAACATTTGTATAAATCACTTACCTTAAGACTGCTTTTAGAATGCTTTTTACCGTGCTATTGATATATTAAATCCTTGAGTAAGATAACAGTAATCAGCGCCTATTTTACTCATATTATATTAGAAATATCAAGTTATGCGTCTAAAGTCTCGCGGAAAGATATTCTATGGTTTGTGTGTGTAATCATGCGTGCGAGTGTGTTTATGTTTTACTGAATACCATTTAATAATTCTGAATATAACATACGCAACACTTGTCAACACACTTCCGACCTTGACCCTGGCTCCTTGAGTCAGATGGTCGCCTAACGGATTCGAGGATTAGGTCCCTACCGTTTCCTGCTGAGTTGCAGTGAGAACTGAGTTCCGTTTTACAACAGCAATGCTCTGTGATAAATATATACTTAGTACAATAACCGTGATTGGATAAATCATGGTAATTACACTATTCAAATGGTTAACTTAAGAGCTTAATGTCAGTTGAGGCAGTTAATCTTCAAGGACAGTTTGAATAACCCATGGTTGATTGCTTCTTTTACGGTCACTTGAACACGTGATTGATTGGCAGAGGATAATCACAGTAATAATTTTTCTTTTAAGCTTGATTACATGTTTTATTTTTAATGTTTTTATGCGTGTAAGTAAGTAACGTAAAATTATAGATGAGTCGAGTAATCTCAAAATTTTGATTTTATTACCATTTAATCATAATTTTGAGATAACCTATTTATTATTTTTAACTGCAAGTAATTTTTTTTTTTTACATTACAGGTACGCATTTTAGTTGAAGTCCAACGTTGATAAGATATAATGATTATATGCACAGAGCAACTTATGATGAGTAATTAGGTAATGAGCGGCGATAACAGGCTGATTATACGGCCATACATTTGAGTCATTAGAATTTACGGTGATTTCACTAAGTCGTGTTTTGTAACACTCGCGAAATAAGGTGATGGATTCCCTTACACTGATGCCACACGGTGTTGAAATTTGTTATGTGACCATAATGATATTGGTTCTTTTACGTTTGAAACCGGTAATTACCAGTAAGTGTAATTCTTATTGTCTACATAATAAGTAGATAAGAATCCGTAGGGCAATTTGTTCTTTCATTTTCATCCTAAAAAAATTGATCCCGAGCCGAATTCGTCACCCTTAACAGGTGGATCACCGACCACAGTATCAGTTGCAGCCTTGACGTTGCCCCTCGGTTGAGGTAAAATGCATGTTACGTGCCATGGGTAGTGCTGCAAGTAAACTGAAATATGAGATGGGCATCTTCCTGATTAAAACTCAATTGCAATATAAACTGTGATATTTATCAGAGGACGAATTAGCAGAGTACTTTTAATAGGCTTTACTTAATTAATGAAATGATGGATAAGGTTTTTCTGGTTTTCCTAAGTCATCCACATTCTTTGTTTGTTTTTTTTTTCTTCCTGTGGGGGAAAATTTTTATTCATGACATTTCTTTAGACTAAAGCCATTTCTGGTGTACAATATCCTTTAATCTGTTAAGCATTTTGTGTTGTTTAAAATCAAAAGTTAAAAAGCAGCCACCGTGCGAAAAATAATTTTAGAATGTTTTTGTATAATCCATTCTCCACTGAGATATACTTTTCATAAATATGTCACGGATTTAAAAAAAGTATTTGTTTATATTTAAAAAGGAATTCTAAATTATAAGAAACGGTAAATTAGGCGCAGAGTCCGCGTATAAAAGGGGTCTGATAATTCCCACTAATTATTCCCCGTTTTCTCATTTGGTCCACTTAATTAGAAAACGTAAGACTATTTTTAAGCGATTGCTATATCAATAGTATTTACAACTTTTAACTGATTCCATAGAATATTTGTATTTAATAACATTTTCAAATCTGTATAATTTGAATGACCGACGGCATTTTTTTCTGTAATTAAAAATAATTAAATTCTTAATAAATGTCAATATTATTTAAAAAGGAATGTCAAAGAATGTCTTTCGTTTTTGATTTGACTATTACGCACCAAACAGTGAAAGGTGGAGAGTGGTCTTAATCGATTGGCGGGCTTCTTTAGTTTAGCTTTAGCAGCCGTGAAAAGTGTCACGGGAGCGGAGCGCGCATTTTGCATGCGAATGTTTTAAAAAAAAACGCCGATTCGTACACTATTGTTCAACGTCTCTATAGGACATATTCCCATTTAACGACTATGAGAAATTTGAAGAGACTGAGAATACAATTCCGAATAAGTCAACTGGGCGAAAAATTACTATGAGCGACTACGAGCATGAATGTTGACCTCATACGCCAGTCCATTATTGACAACCCACGCCAATTACTACGACTCCGCGCAGCTTCGTGAAATTTGAATAAATCCACGGTGTTTAAGAAATCACGCCCGATAATCCCATTAAACGACTTGAATTCTGCATGACAATGAAAAATCGTTTTAACTTCAACAACTTCATTTGTCATAAATGTAATAGCCCTCTAGAAAACGTACAACACGTATATTTTTTTTATTATGTGCAAGCAGCTATGCAGGTATAGGTAAGGATACTAGTATCACTGCGACCTGAAATATCTATTGTGATCGCTACTATGGCTATAGTTCATTGTTAAGCCCTATGTCTTCAATGAATAAAAGAAGTTGCTTAGCCATGAGAAATTTCACTTCTTCTGAGTGGACTACATAGTTTCCTGGGTGAGTGATACGTTTGCGCATTAAGGGTCCGTAATCCAATAAGATGTGCAGAGGCGTTTCTTCCGTTATAGAACAGAACCGATACGTTCTTGAATTGCTTAGTCCCAGGATGGACATGTGCTTTTTAAGATAACAATGTCCAGTCTGTCCAATCAGAATACGCAGTTTATTTTTACTTAATCCCAGGTCTTCTGAAGCGAATTTTCGATCAAAGTTTTTAGAATGTTTTAAGCCTGGTATGTCAGACCAGATATTAAGTAATTTATTGTGATAAAGAGTTTCAAGGGTCAATCGGGCTTGGCTTCTTGAGATTCTACAAAATGGATCAGGTCCAAATGGTGTAGACTTTGAGCCCTCTCGTGCAAGTTTATCGGTATATTCATTGCCTACTTACTTAATACCCACGTGATCCGGAACCCATCTTAAGACCGACCTATTATTACATCCCAGGGCGTTTAAGCGGTTCACGCAGTCTCCAACTAGCTACGAGTTCACTAAGTTAGAACTCAGCGCTAGCAGTGCTATTTGACTATCAGAGTTTATTTAATTTATATGGTTGACGTAGTGTTTTTACAGATTGCTTTCCACACACTGAAGTATGGCGAAAATTTCTGCCTAGAAGATAGAGGTAAATCTACCCAAATTCATACTAAGTTTGAATTTGGGGCGTTCCCCTGAAATTCCAAAGCCTACGTCGAGGCCCATTTTAGACCTATCGGTATACTATATGAGGCTACCGACCTCACAGATAACCTGGCCAGTCAGCCAGTTTTCTTTGGAGGGTAGTTCCACTATATATTTTTTATCAAAAGTGTATAGTGGACGCATGATATATGAGATTATGCATAAGACCGGTTTATCATTAATTGAGTCGAGCATGGACCTCAATCTGAAGGCGCCAAGGTCAGACCGCACTGCGCGTTAATAATAACAATAATAAAATAAAATAAAAATGTTTTATTTTTCAGCCATCGTAGGGTCATAGCATGTAAGTAATACAAATAAAACTTAAGAACTAATGTTGTGGTGCTATTAAGGTTATATGACCGCAATAAATTTTTAGAGAGGATGGTTCATATCTATGCTAGGATTATATGGCATTGTAGTCAAATGATGACCAAAATTACTTATATTATTCAAAATTCTTATTAAGCTAATTTTTTTTTTGAAAACGTTACCCCTACACTAGGATTTTCTCCCGTATCGTGGGGGCAGTTTACAAACATAAATTGCACAAAGACAAACATCCATACCCGGAACAATTAATTGTAGGCCATACAAATACTTGTTCCGTGAGGGATTCGAACCCGTGACCCTAAATACAGCCACTCATTGCTAAGCCACTGCGCCACGGAGTCGTCACATATTCAAAATTATATGATGACTTAGTCCCAAAATGAAAATTACAATATCCGGATCGGATAGGGGGCGATGGAGAGGTAATACCACAATGTATATATGGTATAAGGATACCTCTACCTCAGCGCCACCTATGTTATCAAGAAGCAAATTTTGTAATTACACTGTTAATGTCCGATATATTATATTCAGAACGGGACTCATCGCACCACCTCTGTCAAGCAGAGAACAACGTCTGTCGAGTCTATATATATAAATAATATGTTAATAAGTCAGATCAGATAAGTTCTAAGAAAACGCAATATATCCAAGCATAAGCTTATCAAAAATCCACTCCTAATCAAAGCTGCCCCCACCAATAGTGGGGCCGATAGTACACGAAATTACAAAATTATATATATATATATATATATATATATTTATATTTCCTATACAAACTAGCCTTCGCCGCCTTGTCCAGATAAAGATCAAGGGGCGTTAGGCCTGGAAGTGCATTAAGAGTCACTTTAGGCGTTGATCGCATAGCTTCAGTTGCCATTAAGCAGGCGGTCAATTGTAGACTATTTAGTCTCTCCGCAGTCATCTTTTGGTTGGCCTTGTTGCACCAGACGGTGGAGGTATAGGTGAGGATCGGAGTCACTATACTATTGTACAGCCATAGTACCATACTGGGACGCAAGCCCAATTTGTTCCCGACCAAACGACTGCACGCACCTAAAGCTAATTTATCTAATTTATCTAATCCTTTGACTAATTTATCCAACGGTCTCTTTTCTGTAAAGTGTATTATAACAGTTTTATCAGTATTAACTGATAAACTGTTATCCCTACACCAGCTATTTATGGCGTTTAGAGCTCTTTGTATGATTGATGATAAAGTACTTTGGCGAAAGTCCCTCGCAATGATCACAAAGTCATCAGCATAACCCAGTGTAGCAGTGCGTAGTTCTGCCATCTTGTCCAATAGCTGGTTAATTTCAAGAGTCTAGAAAAGGGGTGAGAAAACACCTCCTTGTGGGCAGCCTCTTATAGTTGCAACCTCAATTGAGTTTTGAAACAGCACTATTTTTGCCTTTCTGTTTGAGAGCGTCGACTTCACCCATCTGATGGATGTGGGGTTAACGTTTTTAGATGTCAGGCCCCCAATCAGCAGTGATGTGGGGCTACTGTCGAAGGCGCCCTCAGTATCTAGAAAGGCACAAGGAGCTATTTCTTTATTCTTCAATGCTTTTACGACCCTGTCAATAACACTGATCAAGGCTGTTTCCGTAGAGTAGGCTGTTTGCCTCTGCGGAAAGCATGCTGGTTGTAATTTTTGGGCCTTGAAGCTAGAGCTACCTCCCTTATATATCTATGTATGACCTTTTCCAATGTCTTAAGAAGAAAGGAATGGAGGAGGTTTATAGGTCTAAAGGAGTTTGGTATAGCGTAGTCCTTTCTACCGGCCTTAAATATAAATGGAACTTTGACAATTATCCATATTGATCCTATATCCTTTCATGTTGAGGTCTTGGTTTTGATGGGACAACTGTCCTCGAAGGCTTCACGGATACCTACGGTTACTGTCTCCGTCGCTAACCAGACATTCAATCGTTTTGATGCTTTTAGGATACGTTTCCGAATTCCTCCTTAGTCTATTTCTGTAGATATCCCAGGAGGTTGCTTTTGGATCCCCAAAAATTACGGTTTCATAGGCTAGTGATGTTCCAATCATGAACCTAATGTATTTGTAATCAGACTACTAACATTCCAGTCATTTATCTGTCTAGACATGTTACTGGTAGCAAAGTTTACGTATAACACTTTTTGCCTAGCACGCGTTATAAAGGTTGGTGTACAACCTAGGTTTAGTCTTGCCAGGCTCATAAAGTAACTCACCTCTTTTGTTGATTTTGGTACTTGTACAGGCTGTGTGGTGAGCATTATCATCACAACCCACCACAAGTTCGGCGTTGTGTTTTCGGGAGAACTCCGCCACACGCTCTAGCTCGATGGTAGGATTTGCGTTCTTTCCGGGAAGATAGCCTAAGCAAATGATTACTCTGGTCCCTATTCATCCCTTGAGATTTATGAAGGCTGTGACCAGGTCATCATTGCAGTACTCTGGAAAAGCTAAAAGTTCAATTTTTTTATTATAAACTAAACAAGCTCTCGGTTTACTGCCTTTAGTATAGACAAGAATCTTACCGGCTGTGGGGACCCTCGTCTTAACTCTGGGTTTAGCCATTTATGGGCATAGGGGGGCAGTGGTATTTTCCGCCTGTTGCGGACGAGGACATTCTTTACCTGCGCACTTTCCCCTACCTTACCTTTCGCCATACCGCTCCCACCTCCCCTCCCCCCACGGAGGCCGTCGGACCAAGCTAAAATCTGCGCCTTGGGTCTTCGTCACTCTCACTAATGCCGTTCCTGTCTCACCCCGAGAGGTGGAGGGTTTTGGCACAAAACGCTTCTTTCGAAGCTTCTTTTCTATGGGCTTCCAGAGAAATTGTGCAATTCGATCATCAGTTTTCTTTCAGATAAGAGCATCAAGGTCTTAATATACGGTTCTTGCTCCGACTAAAAGCCTCTTAATGCTGGTGTTCCACAAGGCTGCATGCTACCACCTACGTCGTTTCTGTTGAATATCAATGATAATTTGCAAACCGGTAACATTTATTGCTATCCGGATGACAGCACTGGTCAAAACATTGTGCTAATATTTATCGGCAACACGTCGTCGAGTAGTTAAACAAACTTGTATCTGAAGTCTTTGTTAAATGAAGTTACGGATTAGGGACGACTAAATCTAGTTCAGTTTAACCTCGAGAAGACACAGATTTGCGCGTTGACCGCTAAAAATAACACCTTTGTGGTATCTCATTAATTTTAGGGCGTTCCCCTTTTTTTCTTAACTAGCAGCGGAATCCTTGACGTTTTCGATTGGAATTCAGTTCCGTGGTCACTTGGAAGGGAAGGCCTAACTGGCCTCTAAAAAGCGTGGCGTGCTTTATGGAGCAGGACAGTATTTCATGCCGGTACACTGCCTGCAACTTTACAAGGCGCAGGTTCGGCCTCACTAGGAATAC